TGGGTAGGCAAAACTGAAACACTACTGCGTCGTAGCCCTGACACGCGGTACCTACACACGCTATAATGTCTCGGACAACTGATCCACCCCCACCAGGCCGGTCCGAAATGGAGAGGACGAAACTCTGCTTGTTGCCTGCTAGCAGGCTGAAAGGCGAGTTCGTTTTGCCTACTTTACAGGCCTCTTTCCCTGGAGGATCCACGTCAGGGTCTTGCGTGCCGTTGTTCTACTGTTCAATGCGTGGATCACGTGGATTCAGGACAGCGCCCTCCGCCTCCCCGTACCTTGCACCCCCTCCCCCGTGCCACGCTGCCGCCCACCTCTGGCCACTGGTGTTTATTTCAATCTCAATATGTATTTTGGCGCGCCTGACGCGGGTGAGCCAGGCTGTGGTGGACCTCGGGGTAAGACCATCTCAATCGAGCACACGCAGGGCAAGCCGTTACACGCAGCTGCACGCGCACGCCCCCCGCTCCTAGTGTAGCTGTTCTGAGGGGGACTCCCCCGCCCCCTGCCCCCCGACGCCTTTTGGATGGCTGATTCGGCAGTGGGATCCTTCTTGGACCCTTCGGGAATCCATGGCAACATGCGCGAGTGGGTAGGCAACCCAGGCGTCACCAACGCCAACCATCGTGGAGGGACTTATCTTCCCCGGAACTAACCCGTCCACATGGCGGGCTGCGTGTGCCGGCGGCGTGTGCCAACCCGGCGTTCACTTCAAAATGCGGTTCATGTGATGGACCATGAGCTGAAGGGCCGCAGATCAGCCCCGCCCGATGGTAGCCCGCCGCGCCGCGCCGCACATGCCTGTATGCACGAGAAAATGCACCCCGCTAGATTAGGGTAGGCCATGCACTGGGCATGCCGAGGGTCATGCCCATGTCCTCACCTCACTTCTCCGCATGACTCGAGTCCTGCTGCCGCAGATTGTCGCCCCTCGAACGTGACAGGCGGGTCGGCCCTAAGAGGAGGCGGCGAAGAGCAAGTTGCCTACTTGCCCCCCCCAATTCCATAATACGGGCCTTCGAAGTGGCAGAATTTAGGAAAACACGAAGAGAAACAGGTAACAGGGAACTTATTTTTGTTGTACGTTCCACCCCCGCCACGCGTCGTTGCGAGCGGGTTTGCCTGGGGATGCCTACTCACCGGGGGCCACGGTGCGTTGCGGGCAAGGCGAGTAGGCAGGCCCGCTCGCACCGGCGCGTGCAAAGAAACACCCGTTACTTGGTGTACTTCAGCTAACGCAAAAGAACTGAAGAACTGCGGGTAGAGCATAACGTTCCTGATTGGTCGAGAGCGTCTCTAACGTCACGCCGCGGCGCGCCGGTCCGACCAGCAGCCTGTATGCCCAACCCCCCGGTAAGATTGTTCCGCTGTAGACACATGTCACATGGCTGGCAAATGTGCTACGTAGAAGTCTACAGAGGGCTATACGGCCCATCGGCGCTCCCCATGGACCTTCGTGGAGAGTGCTGTGCGTTGCGTGCGGTGTGCAACGGAGTGCGAGGATAGAGGATAGAGCTCGGTCTGTCCATCCTCCGTCTCTCCTCTCTCTTCCTCTCACTTCCTCCCGTCTCCTTGTCTCTCCCCCTCCACTCCCCTCAATGCTTCACCTCCCGTGCTTCGCCCGCAGTACTGGTTTATTTCTGTCCTCCCCCCCTCTTCCTCCCTTCCTGCCCCGCGCTGAGCCGTGCGTGGCGTGGCGGGGCGGGGCGTTGCCTCTCCTCCATCTCCTCTCCCCTTACTTCTCCCTCTCTCCTCTTCATTCCTTTTCTCTCTCTCTCTCTCTCTCTCTCTCGTCTCCCTCCCTTCTCTCCTCTCCCTCCTTCCCTTCTCTCTCTCCTCTCCTTCTTCTACTCCCTCCTCTCGTCTCTCGTTCTTTCCACTCGTCCCTCAGCCGCCGAGCCTCGGGTAGAGAGCCGAGCCGATCCGAGCCAAAGCCGAGCCTCTGAGTCGAGCTTCTTTTGAGCCCTGGCTGCGCCGCTGCGCCGGCCGGTGAGGTGACGGGTCGAGGCGTGTCCTGGAGCATGGCGGTCATGATGCCTGGACTCCAGACTCTGGAGCCGTCGTGGGCGGCCGCGGTGGACACTTTGTATGTAGGTCCCCGTAGGGCGCGTCGAGGCGAATAACTAGAGTAAGCCGAGGATTCTAGCGTGCGCTGGAGCTCGCTCAGACCAGGGCTCAGGCCATCAGACCGTTCTGCGCGTTCTACATCCATGGGACCAAGCGCCTCGTGGCGTGAGTAGGCAATGAGTGCCTCAATCTGCCCAGGAGTAGGCACAAATACGCGTTGCGCGTTCTCTCCAATGCTTAACTGGATAGGTACGCGACGCGCCTGCGAGTCCTTAGCCGTGTTCCGGCTGAGTTTCCGGCCCATATTCGGATGGTTGCGCCCCCCCCCCCCTTTTTCTCAATCTGTCGAACGGCACTGGCGGGCGCCATGGTACGAGCACGTATTAGAGAGTGCTTAGGTGGGCGTCAGTCAGGGGTCGCCGTTTGGCCATTTGCCTTCTTGCCAGTGGGGAGGGTTGCATCTTGCCTACCGAGCGAGGCGCAAGTGACGGTCCATCGACCTCCGGCCCCTGGAGCCACGCGCAGAGGGTGACTAAATGTTTCGCACCCCAAATAAAAATGCACGTGCCTAACATTTGCTCGCTGCCACAACCTTACCGCTGCCCCTGCAGTCCTAGCGAACCCTTAATTTATTACGACGACTATCGACCGCCCCATTGCCTGACGGGTCAGTTCGAGCCCATACTTCTCTCTGAGTGCGCGCACGCGCGCGTGTGTCTATGTGTGTGTGTGTGGACTTCATGCCACCCGCAGGTGTGTACATCCACAGGCGCGCCATGCCCCGCTTCGCGCCGCGACCCGTCTGTGCGGGCCAGGTGCGAGCCCCTTTATACCCCCCCCCTCCACCCCTCTGTCTCTCTGTCTTTCACCCTCCCCCTCGTGCCTCTAAGAGAGGAAGAAACACCGGGTCCGGGCCGGGGAGGGAGGAGGGGGCGTCCCCTTACCCGCCCTCCCCAACCCCTGTTGCCTGTACCCAACCCCTCCGCCTCCACCCCGAGCCGTCACCCACTGCACTGCCTACCCACCCCTG